TTGATGTGCTTGTAGCTACTCACACGACTTTGTCTGACTGTTCAACTGGAGTCGAATAACCTAGACTAGACCGACCTAGTTGCTCATGTATAGTTCTGAACGCTCTTCTTTCTTTCGCCTTCTGTGATGAGTGTTGACACGGATGTGCTTTCCCCTACCAGGTCCTCACATGGTATTCTCTGAAGCGCTTCTGTGATGACCGGTTCAAGGACGTCCGCTTCAAGAACGATGCTCAACGAAAGGCCTTTCTTCTGAAGAAAGGCATTAAACTTCAACGTGATGAGCAAGGTGTTGATGGCGTTGCTGTCCCGAAGTCTGGTGGTGGAGGGGATGAGAAAGAGATCAAGGTTGGCCGCCGCTTGGCCGCCGCAAAAATCAAGCAGCAAGATTTTGGAGAGGCGCCTGACCGAGATCAACTCTCTGCCATGCAGGCAAAGAATGCTGCCGGTCTCAGTGTCGCTGCCAACACCCAGGAGTCAAGTCATTCATTGTGTGATGTTTGACCGCCTGACCTGCGTTGTTTGTTGGGTGGTTTTGACTGTGAGCGTTGACTGTTGACTTGAACCCATTCCCGAATCATACCGATCCTTTCAGAAGAAGTCGAATTCCAAATGTCCTTTCCAGGAGGAGTTGCAAGCGGCGCTTGGTCAGGATGAGATGGATGACAATGCCGGTGACTCCGAGGATGAGGATGCTGCCAGCTCTGCTTCGAGTGCCTTTGGCTTGGGTCTTGAGAAGGCAGCCCCGAAGCGGCGCTTTCCAAAGAAAGCGACTCCTACCCCTCAGGATGTCAAGGCGTCTCAGGTTCATGGAGCTCCCAACGGTCCGAACTCGAATGAGAAGAAGAAGGACCCCAAAGTCCAGTCTGCTTTGAATGCTGCTGATCGAGCCCTCAAGTCTTTGCAGCAGGTTGATGCGCTAGCTCTTTGGAAGGGCACCCTGAAAGAGTCTGAAATTCGGGCCCGTGTGTTCAAGGCGTCCTCATCCATCGTGGAGCTGGAGCAGATAGAATCATGCCTCACAGATTCAAAGCCCAAGAGTGAGATCAGGTCGGTCGTGGACACATTGAACCCGCTGGTTTCTCAAGTACCAGTGCTTCAGGATGCCTTTGCAAAGCTTCGTGCCAACACCAAGAGTTTGATGGAGTCCTTGGCTGACAAAACCTTCCAGAAAGACTTGGAGGAGGCCTTGAAGTCCAACTTGATGAATGCGGAGACGTTGTCTGGGATTTTGCTGCACTTGGGGCAGAAGACCATGGAGGCTTGAGCTGCTGCTGTTGCTGTTGGTGTTGTTGTTGTCGTGGTTGTGGTTGTGGTTGTGGTTGTGGTTGTGGTTGTGGTTGTTGTTGTTGTTGTTGTTGTTGTTGTTGTTGTTGTTGTTGTTGTTGTTGTTGTTGTTGTTGTTGTTGTTGTTGTTGTTGTTGTTGTTGTTG